TGACATTTCTGTCCTTAAAAAGTAGCACAAAATTCTTGGGATTTTCTAAATAGACCATTATGTCTTCTGCATATAGGGATATTTTATTTCTTCTCTTCCAAACTGTATGCCTTTTATTTCCTTTTCTTACCTTATTTCAATGCCTATGACTTCCGGTGCTATGCTGAGTATGGATGGTTAGAACTGACTTCTTTGTCATGTTCCTAGTCTTAGAGGGAAAGCATTCATCACTTCAATTAAATAGGAAGTTAGCTATAAGTTTTACATGAATGGGTAGGTATTGAATTTTGTCCAAAGCTTGTTCTGCTTCAATTGATATAATCATCTAATTTTATTCTTTAATTTTTAAATATAGATTATTCTGACAGGTTTTCAAACATTAAACCAATTTACATCCTTTAAACGAACCCCATGTGGTCATGGTGTATTTTTTTTAATATATTGGTGAATTCTATTAACATTCTCTTAAGCTTATATCATGTATATGCATAAAGGATATTGGTCTTCAGTTTTCTTTTTTTTTTTTTTTTGTACTGTCTTTGTCTGTTTTTGGTATGGATAACTACCTTAAAAGATGAGTTGTGAATTGTTGCCTTCTCTTGTATTTTCTGAAAGAGATTGTGTAGAAACAGTGTTAAATCTTCTTTAAGTGCTTGGTAGAATTCCCCAAACCATCTGGAGATTTCTTTTTCAAAAGTTTTAAAATGATGAGTTTAATTTCCTTAATAGTTATAGGGCTGTTTAAATGATCTATTTCATACTGGGTGATTGTGATAGTTTATACTTTTCAAGAAACTGGTCCATTTCATCTAAATTATTAGATTTATGCATGTACAGCTGTTTGTAGCATTCTTTTTATTACCATTTGAATGTCTACTGGGTCTACAATGATAACCTCATTTCATTTCTGATATAGGTGTAATTTATATTATATTTTTTCTATTTCCCTTGTCAGATATCCTGTCAAGTGGATATGAAAGTCCTGGCTTTCCGCCAAGCCTCCTCTGACTGTTCAGCAGGGAAGGAGAGGTGCTTTATCACAATTCTGCAAGAGTGAACTCCCCACTTAGTCTTTACTGATAGCTGTTGAATGTGTGTGTGTGTGTGTGTGTGTGTGTGTGTGTGTGTGTTTTCCTATGATGAATTGGTTGGAGTAGGGTGGTCTTTTGGCTAGAATAAGTAGGCTTTCTTTGGGGGGATGGTATTGTTTGGTCTGCATTCGAGTTTCTACATGAAGATGTTTCTCAGGACCTGGTCCAGGTTTTATGAGGCAAAAGAAACTCAGCAAACTGTTTGCTGTGTCGTCTCTCAGATCTTGTGGTTCCTATTTAGTGCAACTTTTCCCTTTTTTTTGGTGATACTGGGGACTCATCCCAGGATATCATGCTTACTAGGCAAGTACTCTACCACTTAGCTACATCTTGTGCCTTCTTTTAAACTTTCATTTTGAGACAGAGTCTAGCTAATTTGCCCAGACTGGACTTGAATTTGCCTTCCTTCTGCCTCAGCCTTCCATCTAGTCCTCTTAAGTAGCTGGAATTACATGTTTGTGTTATCACATCTGGCTCTTATCCTTTCAGAGTCTTCTTATGTTTGTGTTATATTTACTGCCCAGGGATTTACTTAGCAAGATAAATAAGAAATCTATTTAACCAATTTTGTCCCATTATCTCAAATGTGAAACACCCATAAAACTTAACTATATTTTCTGTCTATATGATAATAATATAAATTAGTATAATAAAATATTTTATATATTAATATATTAATTATATAATATATGACAACATACTAATTATGTATAATATACATGTAAATAAATATATAATCATATACATTAATAAATATATACATTATATTATATTATACATAATCATACTATATTAATTCTAATGTTTTATTATATATAATATGTAATACATAATAATATAATAATACAAGTAGATTATGATTTCTAATCTATTATAATACACCTGTGTACATTTCTTTAAAATATTCACAGAATTAAAAACTTGGGGCCTAATGGGTTAATCTTTTCTAGAATTGGAAATACCACCTTAGATTTTGAAAGATATTTGTTGGGTATAGAATTCTAGATTGACAGTATTTTCACTACTTTAAAGATGTTATTCTACTATCATTTATCTATCTATCTATTTATTTTGCAATATTGGGGATTGAATCCAGAAGTATTCTACTGCTGCCTATATCTCTAGCCCTTTTTATTTTTTAAGACAGTTTTGTTAACTTGCCTAGGCTAGTCTCAAACTTGCCATCCTCCTGCCTCAGCCCTCCTGTATCACTGGGATTACAGGCACATGCCACGATACCCAGCTCTATTGTTTCCTTATTTAAATTGGTTCCATTAAGAAATCTTTTCTTGGCTAATCCAGGTCTGGGAATAAATATATAAGAACATGGGACAATCTTATCCTTCTAGAAAGCAAAAATGCTATCAAACACTATTAGGGTCTGGTTTAAAAACAAAATAAAAACAAAAACAAAAACAAAAAAAACAAACAGCATCCAATGTGAAAATGTGAAGGAAATGTGGCTTCCCCTGGCCAAAGAGGGAACAGTTTGAGCATCAACAAGAACAATTATTGTAAAGGATTAAAAAATTATGTTGAAAAAAAAGAAAACTTTTCTTGCAGTTAACTTTGTTTTACTCTATGTGATAATTAACACCTTATTTCTCTCATTGAAAGTAGAAATATAACCTTTCTGTTGTTTTTTTTAAAGAAAGAAAAACAATATACATTGCTTATGCTTCTTGGGTTACAGCATTATAAAAGTATAATTTTTGTATTTTTCTGGGCCTTTTAAGATTTTCTCCTTAACACAAGGTTATTATTATTATTTTTTAATGATGTGCCTTTGTGAAGTTTCCTTTATTTTCTGTGCCTGGCATTTGCTGAGTTTCTTAGATCTGTGGTTTAAGTTTTTATCAGAATTGGAGAAATTTTGGCCATTATTCAAATATTGTTCTAGAAACTCTAATTATATGTGTATTAGACTCTTAAAGTGGTCCCAGAACTCACTGATGCACTATTTAATTTTAAATGTAAGCATTCTTTTCTTTCTGTGTTTCATTTTGAATAATTTCTATTATGTCTTTAAGTTCACTACCTTTTTCTTTTGCAATGTCTTATCTGCCATTAACCCTATCATTATTTTCCATTCCAGAAGCTGTAGTTTTCACCTCTAAAAGTATGTCATGCAGTGTCTTGGAAGCTATTTTCATATAAATCACGTTTTGGTTATCTTAGGCAAGAGGGTAAATCTTATCCCTGTTATTCTGTCTAGGGTGGAACAGTATGGGTGGAAATGTGGAGGAAGTGATAGTATGTTATTTTTGATACCAGGACATAAAAGGTATCCTAGCTTCCTCTTTACTATACCCCTCCCCTCCTCCATTTCTTCCCCCCCTGTGATGCTGGAGATTGAAACCCAGGGCCTTGTGCATGTGAGTCAAGCATTCTATCAACTGAGCTATATTCCCAGTCCTATCCCTTTCTTGAGTCAGTTGCTCTAGGAGAAGCCAGCTGCCACAGAATGAAGACATTCAAATAGTTCTATGGAAAGATCCAACTTGTAAGGAAATAGGAACTTCTGCCAATAGCCATATTAATATTCCATCTTGGACCTGGATCCCCTAGCCTCAGCCAAGCCTCTGTATGACTAAAACCCAGGCTGACACCTTGATTACAACCAAGGAACTCCTAGCCTGAACCATCTTTTAGCTGCTTATGAATGCTTAACTCACAATAACCATGAGATAATGTTTATTGCTTTAAGCCATTGTTTTGGTATAATTTGTTTCATAGAAATACACAACGAATAGAGGAACCAAATTTTATTCAAGTTGTAAAAAACATTGGTCGAATCCCTTAATTAATTTTATTCATTCCCCATCCCCAACTTAGCCTAAATAACAATGCATAGACAAAATCACTAGACTTGGCACTTGGAGCATTTATACTCAAAACGTTCCCTATGTGATTCATTTCGAAAAGCCCTAGCTTCTATGAGCCTAAGACACACCAAAGCAATAAGGATATGTTATATTTTTTAATACTGTAACCCAAGAAGCACAAAGCAATGTATATTGTTTTTCTTTCTTTAAAAAACCAACAGAAACATTATCTTTCTACTTTCAATAAGAGAAATAAGGCATTAATTAAAATGAGTTGATTCTAATCAGATATTACACTAATAATGTAGCAACAGATTTATGAAATTCCTCCCTTAGGAATCTTGAAGAATAGAATTTATGTCCATTTGATAAATATATTAGCAGCAAGGCTGCTTCAAGAAAGAAGATGCATAGAACCTCTAGATCATAGAACCTCTTTCTCATCCCGGTGATTCTGAACTTTTTATATAAGGAAAAAAAGGAAAAGTTGAATTTTGTTTAAGAATAGATAGTTGCTTGTGGGGGTGCTTTGTAAAACATTATCCATGGTTCAGCCAATGCTTTTTAAAACTCTATTGGGAGTTTTATCCAAAGGGAATTAAGAGTTTTGCCTGAGTAGAACATAAAGAAAGTATTTTTATGTTTTTGCACAGTTAGGGTTTTCTGAAAAATAAAACTGGCCGCTGAGGTAAAGGACAAGTCTGTGAAGTTAAAGGGTGATTGAATAGACCCTTTAGCCTCAGAGACCTCTGAAGAGATTTAGAGACTTATTTCCTTATACATTCAGATTTCAAAGTGGGTGAAAGAAGTCAGTTGTTTATATTCAAAGTACAGTAAAGTCAAGGTTTTTCTCCTTCTCTCAAGAGTGGAGTGGGGCAATGTGTAGCCTACTTCAACCTTAAATGTTAATAATTTGGAGAATTCTATGCAGGAGAAGCCCCCCATGTAGGCAAGATAAGAGACTAATAGTGCCACTGGAGGGCTACTGGATAAGGGAAAAAGTGTGGCTTTTACTATTAAAAACTATGATCTCTGTTTCAAAAACCTCATATTTGCTTTCAGGATAAAATAAATAAATACTCACCACAAAAGGAAGGATGCACTCATGTTGATTTTGTACCATGTATAAACTAAAGAGTGACATTCGACTGGGGCCCATCAAGCTGCAGGCTAAAGAAAAAAAGTTCTGCAGAGCCTCACAGAGGTTGGAGCAGATGTCAGCCCAGGCTGGTAAAGCAATGTGCACAATGAGAAGTCGAGGAGGTTGTTGGTTAGTCTGTGTGGCAGTAGAGGGCCCTTTACCAATAGCTCGCCCATGATGCATGGCAGCCAAACCAGGGGTAGAAGTGTAGCCACTATCTGGATATTCTGTATACCTATAAGGAAGGAAAGAAAAAACAACTAGCTTTCATAATGTTGAATTGGGTGCTCTGTTAAAACAAAGAATACTAACTGAGAGGACTAAGTCCAGAAGGAGTCAAATTGGGTACTAAAGCTTTTCTAGGCTATCCTGTATTAATAGTACCCAAGGGATCTAGATGTTTAACTAATGTAAGCATGAGATGCTTAGAGTTGTTGAGTGGTAACAACATAGAAGTTATATACAATCTAACTTTAGTTTCAGAAAAAGCTATTGGCACTCATAAACTTTTTTTTCTTTATTAGTAGTTATTATATTGTATAGTAATTGGCTTATATGACTGTCTCTCCCTTTATAATTTTCCCAAGGAAAACTTTGTCATGTTGACTTCATTCATTAGTACTGTATGTGTTTAGTACATAGTAATACTTAAAAATAAAAGAAAAACCACATTTATTCCTCTTTTGGGTTTCTCTTGGGTTGTTCCTAACTCCTATAAGGTAAAATTTAAATTATCTTCAAGACCCTTCATGACTTGATTATCGACCTCACTGGAAGCTGTTTTTCACCTCAAGGTTTTCATTGAAATAATATCAAATATAACTTTGCTTTTGGGCATTTGTTCATGCTATTTGCTCTGCTTCCAACAACTTTGCTTTCCTTTTTTACTAGCTATTTACCCTAATCTTCAGACCTCAGATGAGGAAACAAGAACAAATGAGAACAAGGAACTAATATCAGGAATAAGAGGGGTTATCATTACAAATGTTCAAACATGAAAAGGGGTAAAGGAGGATAGAATGAATAGCTTTATGCCAATAAATATTATAAATGAACACATTCTTAGAAAAAGGTATTTAACCAACACCAAATAAAAATGAAATTTTAAAACCTAAATTGTCTATAACTATTAAATAAATTTAATTGATAATCAAATATTGTCCTACAAATTAAGCCAAAAGTCAGATGATTTTATGGATGAGCTCCATCAAACTCCCAAAGACCAAGAATTTCAATTTTAAACAAATTCTTTCTAGAATAGAAGTGGGAACTTTTCAATTAATCTTAGGAGGTTAGCATAATCTTTTGATACTGAAACCAGATAAAGATATTATAAGAAAAAAAGTAAGATAATTTCACCCTAAGATGTAAGCATCCTAAACAACAACAAAAAAAGAAAATTAAACTAGCAATGTATAAAAATAACACATCATGACCAAGGTGAGTTTATCTCAAAAGCATATCAATCACCGTAATTCATCACATTAAAAGAATAAGTGAGGAAAATGATATGATCATCTCAATAAATGCAGAAAAAGTCTTTCTTGAAACATAATGTTCATGCAAGAAAAAGATTCAAAAAGATTCATTCATCATGGTATATTCACATTATGAAACAAATGAACTACAGTTACATGCAACAACGCTGAGGACTCTAAAAAACATAATATTGAATAAAAAGAAGACAATAACTAGGAATAGATGACAGGAATAATCTAATAAAATGTTTATAAAAACCTAGAGCAGACACCATTCTTTCTCTTTCTTTGGTACGAGGAGTAAACCCTAGGCTTCATATGTTATACCCCCAGTCACAAACTCATTCTTAACAGTAATAGGTTGACAGCTTTCCCTATAAGACAAAGAGCCTACTACCATCACTTCTATTCAACACTGTAGTGAAGGTGGCAATAAAACAAAACAAATAAATAAAAGGTACTACAATGAAAGAAAATGTCATTGTTTGCAGATGATATGATTGTGTACAGAAAATCTAAAAGAATCCATAATTTCCCAAATTTTCCTCATTCTTTTTTAAATTTCAGTCTTAGATATCTGTTATTTTTAAATATTAATTTACATGACATCTTTAAAAATTCATTGTTAATTTTTGGCTAATGTATAGAATTATAATTAATTTTTACATATTGACTTTGCATTTAACAACATTGCTGCTCTCATACTAATTATAATAATTTATCCATAGATCTTTTTGGATTTTTTGTTCACAATCACATAGTGTGTGAAAAATGATATGCATCAGGTTACATTAACAAAGTCAGATATTGGCAACATAAAGATTATACTAGACTTGTTCACAACTACTGCAAACTATAAGCAACACAAATGTCAATCTACATTATGATGGTTATATCATGGTATATTCACATTATGAAACAAATGAACTACAGTTATATGCAACAATGCTGAGGACTCTAAAAAACATAATATTGAATAAAAAGAAGACAAATAATTTGTACACATAGCATGAGTCTACCTACGTAAATTTTACAAATAATAAAATTAATTAGCCTGCCTAGGGATCATACATAGTGGTAAAACCATAAATAAAAGCAAGGAAACTATTATCACAAAAACTAGGATGGTGATTCTCTCTAGAAAGGAAGGAGGACATTATGACTAGAAGGGACAAAGGGATGTTCAGGGTTTTTTTTTTTTTTTTTTTAGTAATGTTCTATTTCTTGATCTTTATTGTGACTAATTATTAAACTATATGTACATGTTCTATGACACATTTTTCTATTCCTTGTTTATCAATAAAAATACTTCAAAAAGAACATTAGGACAATCATAAAAGAAACATAAAAAAAGGTAGATAAAAGATTAAAATTGTCCACTGCTCTGGGAACTAAAATGTGTGTGTGAGTGTGTGTATTATATATATATAATTTTAGCTCAACAGTGCAAGGAAAATTAAAGTTTCTCTAAGAGAAAGATTATTATGATAATTTTCAGAAACATTTTGGTATTTAGATGATCTGAGAATGCACTAATGTGTCTGTTTCTTGAAATGAATCTGTGAAGTAGTTTTCTTTATATTTCTTTCTTAGGCTTATGGAAGTCAGCATTCATTCAACTTTTTTTGGTGTATGTGGTGGTGCTAGGGATTGAACCCAGGTCCTTGTAGTATGCTAGGCAAGCACTCTAACAACTGAGCTATATCCTTAGCCTCAACTTCTTTTTTTTTTTTTTATTGAGTTCTAATTATGTTCTGGCTACAGTTGAAAAAAGTAAATGAATGAATATGCTAATCTGTTGAAAGTATTCTTGAACCAGAAATCCAAATCAATGTGTAATATATTTACTAAGAAAACATATGCTATAACTTATAAGTATCTCTTCACTTTATTTTTAAATTAAGTGCATGAGACCAATTTCTACATAGAATGCTGAACTTGAGACTGACAGGTTCACACAAATGTAAACACAGACGTCTTATTTAATTGTCCATCTTCCTTCACATCTGAAAACACTGTCATTTTAGGTACAGTTAGTCCTCAGTTTAAATAATTCCAGTATACAGACTTCAGTTACCATAGTGTAGACAATTAACATTAGTCCTCTATCAACACAGTTCAAATTTCARTTGCTAAGGAATATTAATTAAGAGTAATTATATAAAGTAAAAGTTGCATCTAGCTCTTTAGTCTACAAATTATTATGTAAGTAAAAGATGCACATAATGATCAGTGATCAATTATGTTACTTCTTTTAAAATTTATTGGTCAATGGTCACTGCATATTTGCTATTCAATTTATGCACAGTGGGTAATGCCTTACTTCCTTGTCTCCTAGTGACAAGCCCACATAACATTGTATAAAAATCAATAACTGAAAGTGGATATTGGCCAACAAAAATAAAAGTGAAGCAAAGAAACAAAAGTGGCAATGTTGAAAGTGAAATCCAAATAGAACATAAATGGAATTACAGAAAAAAATAGCTGAATGTGTGAATGTTGACACTGCCACCTTTTCATAGACTCTAGGTATGCAGTGAGAGGAACTTAATGAAAGTGAACTTATCAACATAAATGAGGAAAGTGGTTGTGAAGAAAAGAATGAAAGTGCCATGGGCAAGAAAAGAACTTCATTATTAAAGGAACTCTCAGGGGGTATTTTACAAAATGGAAAGCACAAAGGATAAAATATTGGAACTGATCCAAACTTGGAGTATAACACTGCCAAGGCATAGAAAAGATATGTGCTCTATCCTAAGTTATATAATGAGAAGCAAGCAAGCAAAGCACTGTTCAAACTATTGAGAAGTATTTTGTTTTGTTTAAAAAAACACTTTAGTTCTTAGTGTTTGTTTTGCAAAAATAAATATTAGTTTTACAGTATGCAAAAATATACTTAGTAATGAGAGGTTTCAGTGTTTTGACGTTGTTTTCCAGGGTTAAGGAACAAATGTACTTTTCCCCATGATTAAGATCTCTTTGCGGTTGCAGCTTGCAGTCATTTTTAGATGCCACACTAATGTGCAATTGGAGGACTGTCTTTAAATGTGGTAAGGGTATCCTTAAACATGATCATATACTGCATCTGGGCAGGATCTGACTTTATTGCTGACTGTATACTTCTTACTTTTGCCAAGAACACCCTCGGAATGGTTTAACCTGGAACTGTGCCTGAACCAAAAGTCAAGTTACTCCACTACTAAAAACCCTTCAGTGATTTCCAGCTACACTTGGAACAAAATCCAAAATCCTTACCTTGGCCCTAGAGTTGTACTTGTGTCTTCTGCCCACTCTCCAGAACATCTCCAGCCCACCCAATAACCCCCCAGGTGTCTTTCAGATCCACAAAGGTTTTCAGCTTCCACCTGGGGCTCACAGGCAGGAGCTCTCATGCCCTCCGCATTAAACGCCTCTACCTTTTGTTTGTTTGTTTTTTTGTAGCCCTTAGGACACTTTACACGGAATAAATGATTCAATGGTTCTTCCTCCCACAGGGTTCCATTAAAACTTTCATGGGGCTGGGGATTTAGCTCAGTTGGTGAGCGCTGATCTAGTATGCGCGGGGGCCCTGTGTTCCATTCCAGCAAAAAATTTCTGGGCCTTAGTTAGGCACTTTTCTCTTCACGTTCCCCTTCCTCCATTAAAAAAAAAAAAATCGATTTTAGTGGACCCTAAAAACGTCAAGTCTTCCCCTATTATGAGAAAAAAAATCAAAACGTTTTCTTTGACTTTAAGGATTCATTGTTTTCTTCT